ATCAACTTTAAATGATAAAATTATACCAATTAAAAATTTTCAAATCATACTCCAAATCAACTTTAAACTCATTTTAATTACAGAAACAATATCAGTTTTATATTTATACTTATTATTCACATAAGTTTTTAAATGATAAAATTTTACCAAAATAATTATGTTATGGAATAACTTTATAGTTAAATCAAGTTTTGAATAAAAATTTTGAAATGAAACTTATTTTGAAACGAATATAACGTAATTTATTATATGTTTATTGCACGAGCAGTGTATTAATTTTAAAAGGAATTTTACATAATTTTACACAATTTAATTTTTAAAATTTTCAATAAATTAATATAGGTAAATTTTATAACATATTGATTCTATATTTTTAACTTATAAATATTATTTAATGAGGATTTTTTATTTATAAATATTAATGAATATCACTTACCTCGTGCATCACACGAGATTCGTACTAGTATATATAAAGAAAAAACCTATTTACTAAAAATAGTAGCAAAAACAACCGCCAACATATAATGCAGTCTACAAATAATAACTTTTTATTTTTTTAAATCACCTAAAACGCATCTATATATATATAATTGCTGGCATGTAGCATTTAATAAAACCTATTTAATAAAACCTCTAAATTTTTCCTCCATTTTTGGTTACAAAATTTGTCATTAATATATTTTACTTCTCACATTAATACATCTTAATAAGTGTAATCATTTATGTTTCTATTATATTATATAATAGTTATTGCTAATACCAACTAATAATAATTCACAATAAATATATATTACATAATTATAAACAATTATTTCAAGTTATGTATTTTAACATCAACTAGTATTCGACCCGTGTATTTGCACAAATATATAAATAAAGTATTGTGAGTATTTGTATGCATATAATGATTAATAATTTTCGCAAATTTTACAATTAAAGGAGCTGAAATATTTATTTATTTTTGAATTGCGTTTATCATATTGGATGTAATGTATATTTTGGTATGTATCTTTTTTTTTGTGAATTATTTATTATTTGTTTAGGAATTTCAAATACGTTTCCAAGAGAAGTTAATTGAGATGTAACCAAACAATAACATCTACTCACGTTAAATAGTCAACACATTATGGTCAGCTGTAAATAAATAAAAAAAATTTAAAATGATTTTTGTAATTTTGAAGTGATTAGTGTGTTGATTATCTAATAATTAAATGAGAGGTTAAATAAATAAAAAGTAACGGATTTTGGAGGAAAAAAAATATTTTGCCACATAGGTATAATTTAATAGGTTTTATTAAATGCTCATGAGCCAACAATTATATATATATAAATATTATCTTTTCTTTCGTATCTCATAAAAAAATTTCTATAAAAACAATTAGTAAATTGTTTTAATATCATAGTTAACAACTTTAGAATCTTATAAACAATTATTTTTTAATAATAATAATAATATAATAATAATAAATAATAATAATAATAATAATAATAATAATAATAATAATAATAATAATAATAATAATAATAATAATAATAATAATATATAATTGCTAGCTTATCATTTAATTTTACATATTTAATAAAACCTCTAAAACTTTCCCTCTATTTTCAGTTACAAAATTTATCATTAATATTTTTTTTTACTTCTCACATTAACACATCCTATTAAGTGTAATCTTGTATTTTTTTATTATATTATATAATAAATATTGCTAATACCAACTAATAATAATTTACAATAAATATAAAGTACATAATTATAAACAAGTGTTATTTATATCAACATCAATATTATCTTTTTCTTTTGTATCACATGAAAAAATTTCTTTAAAACAATTAGTAAATTATTTTAATAGCATAGTCAAACAACTTTAGAAGCTTATAAACAATTTTAATAATAATAATAATAATAATAATAATAATAATAATAATAATAATAATAATAATAATCAAACTGTTATTATCTAATGATAATAAACAATTGTTCATAATAATACAATCGTTAATTTATTTTTCCTAATGATCAAGTTTTTGAAAATGTAATCTGTTCGTTATCTAGAATTTTAATATTAAATTCTTAAATATTACTTACTAATTATTTATATACATCTGTGCATGTGCACATGATATCTACTAGTGGTAGTTAATTTTGGATTCAAACCTTAGTTGAATTTCTTTAAGTGTGGCTTTTATAAAAAAACATATTTTAAAAATACTACTACCTCCTATTTTTAATATATGTCGTTTTGAAAAGTTGCACATTAATTAAGAATATTTTTTTTTTGTCAATAATAACCTTATTTAATGAAGATAGAGATTAATGTTATGAGAAAAAGTGAAGAGTGAATATGAAAAGACGTAATGTATTTATTAGGTAAATGAGGGTAATAATGGAAAAATATGTACAAAAGATCCAAAACGACATTTATTTGGTTAATAGTTGATAAAGCCAAAACGACATTTAAAAGAAAATAGGAGCGAGAATGAATCAAGTTTACTATTTAACAATTATTTAAAATAAGAATTAGTATCAAGTTATTCAAACAATAAAATATAAATGTATATATAATAAAATGTACTAATAAGTAAATTATATCTCATGGATTTAAGAATTTAGTGATAAGAAAATAAAAATATTAGTAAATATAATTTTGCTAATCAAGTATAATCGATATTAAAATGGCAAACTAACGGCTCATTTGTCGAACCGCCAAGTAAATTATCAGACATAAGTAAATCCTTGTGATCTTAGAGTTTCATTTAAGTTCGAGCGGTAGCAGTTCCAACTTACGGTTTCGTATGCCCCGACCATGAACAAGAGTTTGGGACTGCCTTTATTGCACACTGACCTTCTCATAAAGAAATTAGTATTTAGTCACGACCAATTATATATTGTTGGTTTGCGTGTAAGTACTAGAAAGTAGTTGATTTTTTTTTTTTGTGGAGATGACAAGTTGTCAGTATCAAACTAATAATGTTGTATACAAGAAAATTTTACTAATATATAAATTTTTCATTACGAACATTTTTATGATTTGACAAATTCTCTAATATTATAAATCTTTTATAATATTGTCCAAAATAAATACAGTCCGTGCATCGCACAAGTTACGCATTAGTATGTAAGAATAAGATAAATATACTAGTTATTTAAGGATCTAACGGAGACGAGATTGTGTTGGTTTTTCTGGATAAGTATGTCATCATTAGTTTAATTCATTATTTCATTTATTATTATTATTTGTATTCCAGTTTTGGTAGGATAATATTTATTTATCTTAGCTCCATATTTATTTTTTTTAGTCATTTTTGTTAGACAAGTTATTTATTTAGGGCTTTAGGAGTTATATTTAAATAACTTATCTCCTATTGGTTTATTTGGTGGATTTGATTGAAATAATACTTATAAAGAGTTTTCTCCTTATTTCTCTCGTCGTGTATGTTTCTGCTACATCAGTTGGTATCAACAGACCAGTACGATTCCTACACGATGTAGCTAAGACGGAACAATACTGACAACAGGTGCGACGCTCTAATAGAGGCATGGGGACGTCAGAATGAGGCGTTTGGGCGGCAACACAAGGCATTGGGACGCCAGGTCGCAGATCTAGCCGCGGGGTTCGAGGATATTTGGTTGGCTCCAAATATACATCTCTTCATGGCGATCGTACGAACCCGCGACGGTGGTCGTGGCGGCCGCGGGAGTCGCGGTCAGGGCACCCCGCTCCTGTTCACCTCACTAGTGGGACGAGATGGTGACTTTGAGGACACTGTCTCCAAGGTAATTTTGTTCGGTATGATGGCAGCGCAGGACGAAGGCCAGTATGTCAATGATCGACATTGGATGTCATCGTTCCGGGTCAAGATCCATGTATTTTCAGGAGCCCTTGAGGATGAGTAGAGGTCGATCGATATGAGGGTCCGCCTCTTTTTTATGACGAGGGGTTGATTGCATATGGGGGTCCTCCACTTTTTTCTAACGAGGGATTGCCCGAATATGAGGGCCCGCCTCTTTTTGATGACTAGGGGTCCCGCCCGAATATGAGGGTCCGCCTCTTTTTTATGATAAAGCTATCAACATTATGAATTACGCTACTCAAATAGTGAAGTAGTTGTCCATTGGGATAGCGAAATGGATGGTGGTTAACGACTTAGAAAGGATGTCGAAAGTGATGTACGCACAACTACTGCAACCAAAGTTTCATGTTCCGGGTTGCTTCCCTGTGCCGGCTAGGAGTACTATAGAAAACTTTATAGAGGCATAATTGGGGATGAAGATTACTTTTGTGATTAGTCAGAAAAAAGTGTATATTTTATAATGTATATTTTATATATTTATTGGCGTATTTTTATATGCTTAATTTTATCATACTTATATATTTTTCGACTCATTTATTTATTAGATGGATCCAAGTGCTATGATATTTTTATATATATTTTTTTTAAAGGGGGATCAATACTGGTTCCCCAATTCCCTCCCGTGTGACTCAAACTCGGGACATGGTACACGCCGAGCGAAGGTACGCGCCATTGCGATAATCCCTCTTCGTCGTCATATTTTTATATTTTATTTATAGGATATTGGAGTATTTTCGTAAATAATGTGGCCATAAATGAAATTGCAGCCGGCGGAGTAAGAGGGTTCCCCACACAAGCCCAGTCTTTGTCCATTCGTATCATATGTACGATATTAGGTCCAAATTAAAGCCCAAGTGAAGACTTTACTAGCCCAATTGTAAAAGAAGTAAATCATAGGCCTATTAACTGGCTACTGACTGAAGTTACTAGCCCAATTCTAAATGCTTTCCCTACAAGTGAGTGTATAAAGACAGGTCAATGTTCATTCGTAAATGTACATTTGATGTCATTTTCCAAGTACTATACTATGGTCCTTGGAACAATTTCGACCACCCAATATGGCGTGCCCACTTCCTTTTCTTCTTATCACCCACCACAATAGAATCATAAATACACACACACACACATTCTAAAAATAAACAATGGCTGGTATGATAGTAAGAAACAAATATGTGGTGATAAAGCATCACATAGACGAGGCACCTCGGAAATCCGACTTCGCCATCTCCGAACAGCTCATCTCCTTAAACTCCACCAACAGCAGCAAAAGCAAGGTTGTCGTAAAGAACCTGTACGTGTCCATTGATCCATACCTAATAAACTGCATGAAAACACAGAGCAACACGCAGATTCTCAATGTCCAAGGAGTCGATTACATTCTGCCCGGTCAGGTCGCTACTTCAATTCACCACTTCGACATTTTAATACTAACTTCTTTTTTAAAAAATTATATATTTATTCGCTTGAAAAAACGAGTATTAATGTAGGCATGCATAATGTGCAGGAGATAAGAGGGAGTGGGGTAGGGGAAGTGGTGTATTCGAAGGAGGCTGATTTTGGAAGAGGAGATTTGGTGTTGGGGCTGCTGAGTTGGGGAGAGTATACATTGGTTGAAGATGGCCGCAAGCTCCTCAAATTGGATAACGCTATGGGGTTTCCTCTTTCCTACTACGCGGGAGGAGTATTAGGTATGTGTTCTTGTTTTTCTGCATATACAAATTAAAAGGATGAAATCAACAAAAAAATACATATTTTTTTTAAAAAGAAATCTATATATATGAAAAATGAATAAAGAGTTAAAATCTAATATTGCAGTCTTTTTATTCTGTTCATTGGGTTAACATGGTAGTCATGCAACATATCCAATTAATTTCACTTCACTCTCCTTTTCTAGTCATATTTTTCAATAGGGAAAATTTTTACCCGGCCCTACTATGTTGTACGAAATATGTATGTTACTTCCATGTGTTTTAAAAAAATGTGTGACACCTTGTGGTCCTACCCGGCTCGATTCCGGATTAGTCGGTTCCCCTGTGGATCCGGAAACCGGAAGGTCCCTGTACCAAAAAAAAAAATGTGTGACACCCCTTTATATTTAACTACCTAATGCACACACCCCATTTTTTCAATTTTTCCGTTAATGGTGTAAATTTATTTGAAAATACCTATTATACCCTTTGAATATTATATTTATTTACGGTATATTGAATATATCACGATATAGTGAATAAAAAAAATCGATATTCCTGAGTTTGAACCTTGTATCCCATGGGAGTGTGGAAAGTATTGGAACCACCACATCACTCAATAATTAGATATAGAAACGTTTAATATATATAGACATTACATATGGATAAATCAAATTAAATTTAAAAGTATGAAAATTATAGTAATTAAATTAAATTAATAAAATATAAACTTATGATAAATTAAAATATAATAAACTAAATCATATAAAATTAAACGAAATAATTAAAATCAATTATAAATAAATATTACACATTACAGATAAAATAAAAATATTTATTGTATTTATTTTAGATTATTTTCATATATTTTTATATTTTATTATTTATTTTAATTTATCTTATTCCATATTATTCTGTTTCATTATTCATTTTAATTTATCTTAGTTAGCAAACTTTATTTTTTATTTAACTTAATACAATGAAATGAAATTAAAATAAATTTTACAAAATAAAACTTAGAAACTAATATTATTTATTTATACCTAAAATAATTTACTACACAATTATAATTTTTTCAATTTTTTTCATTCATATTGTATGTAAGAGTAAATCATGTTAAAATTATTTGATAAATCATATTTCTTTATTTTATTATATTAATTTAAGATTTTTATTTATGTTAATTTATAATTTCAGAATAAATTATTTGATTTATTATTATATTTTATTTTACCATATTTATACATTATTATCTTATTATCATTATTTTTATTTTATTTATTTTAATTAGTTTACTTTAATCTTATTTATTTTATTCTAATTTAATTATTTTTATTATTCATTTCAAAAATCACATTTTTTATTTATTTGAGTAATTAAATAATATAAATTTATTTAAACTTAATTCACGCAATTATATTAATTTATCTTACTTTATTTTAATTTAATTTTTTTCATTAATTTTATGTTAAATTTATTGCAAGTTATTATTATTATTATATTTGTTAACACTATAATTATTATTTATTTAATGTATATTAAATTTGACTATTATACTTTTATTTTATTTTATATACTTCATTTTTATTTTATTTATTTCATTTCCGTATGATATTCTAGATATAGTGACAATAATTGTAGATATAGTGACAACAATTGTAAATATACTGACAGTAGATATAGCGACAACAATTGTAGATATAGTGACAAAAAAATTCTTCACTACAACTCTATTTTCTCGTAATGACAACCACCTATGCAGCCTAGTCATGATTGTGTATTTATGTGCTTTTTTAAAACACGAAATAAAAACACGCACATTTCGTTTAACACAGAGGGGCGCTACGTATATTAACCTTTTTTTCCAATACAATAAATAAGGTGTACATTTGTCAAAGGTACCTAGTTCAAAACTGAGAGAAATAATTATTTAATTTGAGTGTGAACTTAACACCACGAATCTATATCTATATAAAAAGGTTTGATTAATTTTTAAATAATAACTATTTCCCGCCAAAAAAATGTTGTTTACTAATTCTAAAAACTATTTAAACATTTTATTTTATGTTTTAAAGATACAATTTAGGTAATTGCGGATGATTAATTAAGGTAATAAATCACATAAAAAGTTTTTTGTATATCAAGATATTCCTATCATATATTTGTACCTAAAATATCGAGATTTATCACATTCCTAACAAACACTAGATTTACTTATATATTTTTAAATTAATCACATCAACAAATAATATTAATATACATTAAATATTTACCATTATATAAAAAAATGAATATTACTTCTATAATGTTATAAATAACTAGTACAGTGCCCGTGCGATGCACGGGAACATTTATTACCTACTTGTTTTTAAAATAGTATTATTGAATTTAAACTGTCTCACGATATTAAAAATATCATGAAAATAAAATTTATATATTATTGAACATTTCTTTATGTATAACATTCTCGGTTTGATTTTATGATATGTAAAATATCACATGGGTGTTCGAATTTTATCTAAAATTACATATTGTTAGTTATTAGTTAGCAAATTACATTTTTTTTTAGAGAAATAAGAATCTTATTTATTAAAAAAAAAATAGTAGGAAAAAGTAAAGATTTATAAAGAATTTTCATGTCATTTTATTATTGAAAAACATTGATTTAAGTAATAATCTGCTGTTTTGTGAAAACGTATTTGATTGCTAACAAAAAATTGGCATTTCAAATTATTGCAAATATATATTATATATTATATATTATATATTTTATATTGTAGTGATGAGGTGGATATAATTTATATTATATATTGTTTGATTTGTTGCTTGTTTTGTATATATATATTTTTACTCACACGTAATTTGTAAAGTGTGGATTTTGAGCATCTCCAATGACACAATGTAGTTGTAGTAAATTACACTTTATATTAACTAATTTAGCAACGTCTATACTTTTAATACTACAATGCACAATGTAATCACAAATGTAGTGATGAGGTAGACATAATTAATGTTGACAATGTAGAGAAGAATTGGTTCATCCACATTCTCTTTCACATTCTAATCAACCAATTGAGAGATGACAGAGAATTATTATTACAATTTTCAAAATATCTAGTTATTTAACTTTTTTTATTTTTTATTTATAATTTTTTTATTTTTGCTAAGTACACAATATTATATTTGATCACATTATGCATTATAGATAGTTTTTTAGATTTAAAGTTGTGAATTTAACAAATATCTTATGTGGTTCACAATACATCTAAATAATTGACATTTGTCAAAATTTATGTGATAACAACATTTATGCAGTTGAGATGCTCATGGTATAACTTTTAAATTTAAAATATCAGTTTAAAAAGATCAGATTAGCTTAAATAAGTCATTCTTATCAATTTTATTTTTCAAATCCTTATCCGATTAGTTACTTCTTATCTAACAAATAAGCTCATGCTTATCATTGCAATGATAAGCGATTAAAATTCTAAATTATGCTAAATGAGATTTTCGTTTGATTATATCCTAAGTAAATCATTAGTATTTATCAGTATGATATTTTTTTTCAAACACTTATCCGATTAGTTACTTGTATTCTAGATATATATTTGTAACAACCATTAGTATTATGGATAGTCTGGATTCTATGAATCTATAAAATATAAAGTATATCTATATAAAATAAAAAAATAAAATTGATATCAAATTATATTTTTGTATATGTAAACTTCCAATCAGATCAATATAGTAATATATTATTGAAAATCATGGATTTAAGTAATAATCCGAAAAAATTGTGAAAACGGACTTGATTGCTCACAAAAGAGTATGATTAGAATGTGCATTTTGATTATTGCAAATATACAACATATTTTCTTTGATTTGTTACTTGGTTTGTAGATATATTATTTTAACAACCAAGGATATTTTGTATATATTTTTTTTATAACAACCAAATATATAAGTATTTTGGATACCGTGGATTCTTTGAATGATTCAAATCTTGGTATATGGTTGTAGATTCAAAGATTTTAATTCAAATCTTTGAATGATTCAAATCTATGCTTCAATATATAAAAGTTTTAATGTAATACCATTTTAACAAAATAGTTGTGCCTATAACATGCAATTTGATTTTAAGCCAAACATATAGTGTATGTTGTTTGATTAGTTAGTTGATTTGTACATTTATACTTTTAACAACTTAATATTTTGTAAAATGTGGAATTAATTAGATTAGTTATATATTCCTAGTAACAAACATTCCAATGGGTCGTTTGATTATAATCCGATTAGTTATATATTTTATAGATATATAATTGTAACAACCATTAGAATTTCGGATATATTATGGATTCAAAGAATCATTAAACTATTGGTATATGATTAAATTTGTAATTGAGTTCAAACTTATACGTTGATTTGTTCAAAGGTTTGTAGATACTGTTTTGTAACAATAAAATGTATTTTAAACTAAATATATTTTTAAAATAAATCGAATTAACCTAACAAAAAAGATCGTGATTATCATTATTTTTTTTTTCAATTGCACATCCGATAATGGTCATATTTATGGCTGAGGATTTATATATGTAACAACCAATATATTTTTTGCGCTGTAAGTTCTAACAATTAGTTTCTGTGTACATGATTTAAAAAAATATATATTAAAAATAATTTTCGGTTGATTAAATTCATAACAAACATTTATCTGATTAACATTGGGATTAGGATGTTTATAATATGAATGTTCAATTAATTTAATTTTTTGTATGTATAATTTTTAGTGTGAAATATACAAATATTAGACTAATATATTTTCATTAAATACATGTATTAGATAGAAATTATAATATTAACCAATTTATTTTTTATTGAAATAAAATATTAATATATAGAATATAAAAAAATAATAAAAAAACATCTATGTCAGCTTGATATATGATGCAATATGTAACAGAAATATAATTTTTGTTGTGATAAATAATTAATTTTGTCCATATTACAACTTAAATATTAATAATTGGAGCATAAA